GTTTTCTGCTACTAATTCTACCAATTGCTCATCTTGGTCACCAGTAAATTTAATTTCTGCCATTATTTTACTCAACAACACACGTGCTGCCTGAGCCCGTCGCGAGACACTACTGGTCCGAGAGCGGTCTCCTGTGCTTTGTCTCTGTCGCCTGTCTTTGTCTCGCGCTCGTAATTGTACTTCATACGATTGTACAGAGAGCAGACAGGAAGCGACCAGTCTCGGTCTCGTAACTCTGTCGCCTGCCTCGGTCGCTTGTCTCTGTCGCGTGCAGCCAAATTGTACCTTAACAGATGTTCTTATCACTTGCATAGTTTCTTCACACTGTGAACCTACTCAGCATTGCATTTTGATTTTCCTTTCTGTATTTTAATAGTTCTAAATGCTTTCCAAACCTGATAATACATGTGGGAAGAGGGCTTTCAAGGAATACTCAAATACTCCAGTAAGAGTACCAGACAATTTCTTCTGCATATTGTTATAAGGAGCCACGGTGGTCTAGCGGTAAAAACGCTGGCCTTGTAATTCTGGGGTCTCAGGTTCGATTCCTGGCGGCACCCGAATTTATAACTTGTGTTGGGCAAGGCCGTGGTCTAGGCAACACGGAGTTTTCCTCCGTGGCATCCCAACAATTACTCCATTCACACACAGAAGAAGGCAATGGCAAACCACTTCTGGATCATCTGCCAAGAACGTATATGAACAGGTCCCAGTCCAAGAAAAGGCTGGAAGGATCCTGTTCATATGGACCTGTCGTCAGACAGAACACTAAATAAATAAAATAAATATTGTTATAAGTATGCCACAGCAATTTGTGCTGAATTATTACCAACAATCAACAAAACTATCTTTCATTGCATTTGTGTACAAGTCTTGCAAATGAAACAGAAGATGACGAGGTGACATATCTCATTAATAGGAGTTTACAGCCTTCAAAAAGAGATTCTTTTCCATTATTTCTTGTTTTTGTTCCCACAATCATATGTTCAGTATAACCATGAACCAGAATTTAATGGCAGCACCTACGAAGCGCGTGAATGGCTGGACATGGCACAGTACTTCAAAGTGTACACGCAGCAGGCCATTTAATACACGCACATTAATCAGCTTATTTAGAATGTGTACAGGATGAACAACATGCTGATCCTGATTCAGAGAAACAGCTCGATGATACTCCAAAGTACAATATTTAGCCTGGTGATATAAATATTCCACTGATAAGGCAGAAGTACCCCAGAATGGGTACACAAAACAGATGTTACAAGTATTTCTGAAAATTCAGAACCTATTTCTTTTTGTGTATTTTTAAATCATACTACCAGTTACCTTACAGGAGACCAACTTGTGCATGCCCAAGCAGAAATGAATCTTTCATTCCCAATAATAAGCATGAAAGACCTATATATTTTTTTTTTCTTGAAATTACAGCTCACGAGTCGTGATCACAAGCCTAATGCCAAGCTACCATGACACTTTCTACTCCATCATGGTGCCATGTAACCATTTACTTAATTTTTCAAAATATTTAGATTTTGGTGGGGGGACCAAAGTTTGTCCTGAAGAAAACATGAAATTTGGAATAAAATTCATAAACTCTGGCAAATACGGGAAAACATTTGACATGAGTTAATTATTTAAGGAAGGGGGAAAAATTGTTAGAACAGCTGTTATACCCACACACAGAACTGTACTAGAACTGGTTCTGAAAGTCAAAAGAGTTTGGCACAAAAAATTTATGGGCAATCACTTCACATCTCTTAAGCTTTTCAACAGTCTCCAGAACAAAACAATCAACCCATGTGGTACAGTTTATCACAACCTAACAACCTAACCATATGTGACTGGAAAGAGAGCTTTGCACGCTGAAAGCCAAACAAGAAGCATACGTACTTCCGACACTCACCACAGAAGCTGGGAAGTCTGTGGTAATCAACCACTAATATTCTTATCAAAGAAAAGAACTGGAAGTAACCGACTCTACATCTACTTTTCAGATCTGACCACACTACATTATCACATTCCCACAAATATGACCCACATGAAATTCAGGGAGCCATTCAGGAATCTCACTATTCTTTCCCATGATGTGGCAAACAATGGAGACAGAAGTTTAGAGTGACAGTGTATGACTCTGACCTGCACATTGTTCCGTGCTTCAGACTGCGGCACACTAAAACCAAGTGCAATCTAAACAGCAGAACAAACAGTGGTATAATGAAACTCTGCAGCCAATGCTGCAATACAGGATCCACAATAAGGGGTTCATGTAGATTACTGACTGGAACTATTAGGACAGGAATCAGAGAAAGATATAGCTATATTTTTATGTATTACTCTGCCACTCTGCCTTTAAATTAGTCTGATGCAAATCATCATCATCAGTTGCGCTACAACCCTTTTCAGGTCCTGAAATGTGCACATTTATGAGTAGTGAGTGACCAGCCCACTGACTCTGCGCAATTTCTACTCAAACCCGATTTGACTGCCAGAGCCATCTAGTAGTGAATCAGGAGACTTGGGTGAGAAATGGCAGCTGAGTTTTGCTTACGAAACATCTCGTATCATGCTTGTAAGGTTCTTTTGCGTGCCGTAAATCTACAACATGGGACCGCCGGCTTTACTTCCCCTCCGAAGGAGTGCTACGGATTCTTATCACCCTTAAAAATCCATCGACCTCGGCTGGGACTGAACCCGCGAACCACGGGTCCAGTGGCTGAGCACGCTAACCACTATTCCACCGAGGGCGACAGTCTGATGCAAATAACTGCATGAAATTTAACTTATTTTAATGTACAAAACATGAGTGTTACCTCAAAATTCTCCTTTTCATTTATCCTTGGAGTGACAGTGCCATGCTTCTCACCCTTTGTGTTGATCGTGCGAACTCCTTCTGCGCTGAACATTTCCTTCATTTGATCTGGTGTAGCTGTTGTTGCAAAGTCCAAGTCCTTTGGCTGAATTTTCGTAAGCAAATCTCTGTGTAAGAAAACAGATCACATTTATGTTGCTTCAACAATAAGACCGTCCTCACAGCTAAGAGCACAAAAATATGCGATCCTAACCTCACTGCTCCACCTGCAAGCCGCAGCTCATATCCATATTTCTTAAAAAGGGATGCTAATGTAGTCAACTCTGGGGAGAACAGAGCCTTGAATTCAGCAGTATCAAGTTTCATGATGGCAGGCTGGTCAAGACACAAGCTGTATCCTTTCTTACTACAGACTGGTATAATGAAACTTAACCTCGCTTCCTGGAAAATAAAAATGTCACAATGTACTGAACACTTTACTTACTCACCTGTCTTCAAAGTTACATATTTATGGGGCAAAGAAAGAAGTACCTTAAGAAGACCAAGTAAAGGGGAAGAGCCAACAATCGGTCCGGTGTATCAGTATGTCACGGAAAACATAGAAGGGCAAAACTCAAAACTGCACATCAAATAGCTATTACATTAAAAAATGCATCAGAATCGGATAGTGTAATCTTACTAGGCACAATTTATATCATCAGTATATGAACATAAATATTGAATTCCCTAAAATGTACAGGTTATTCGAAACTACAAAATCGCAACCGCTACGTTAGTTTCCACGGAAAGAGCAAATAGCGGACAGGCAATAATACTCTTCCCAGATGCTTTACTACAGTACTTTTGCTAACAAAATGCGTATCAAGGTTCACAGACGCCGATATACTGGTATTCGTGTCACTTCACCCTCAAGAGAATCCCGAGACATAACGCTAAACTACAAAACTTTTCCATGTCGTCTTAAAACTCACGTAATCATTAAGAAGGCGCCTTCCAATACTTGAGAGCACTGTCCACTTACGACAGAACATTCCTATTTAACAATTAGGTCTACAATCTACACCTTAGTTTTAAAATATCAGTTTTTCCCGTTCTTCACATTACATGGGTATAAGTTAACTCCATCGGTATATCTGAAGCATTGTAGGATATGTATTGCACGTCAGAAAATGTGCCGCAGACACAGAAAATACCAACGGACAACCTCAATGCCCCATTATAATGTAAAAACCGTTCGGTACAGTGTATAGAACTTCTTTTTCTTCCTTTCTTGTATTACGCACAGAATATAACCATGAAATATATTGGTCTGCGCCAAGTACATATGTTGGTAGAGCCAAATACACAGTCTTTTTTTTTTAATTTTTCCAAATTTTGAAGATGGTACTGCAAAGGGCAGGGGATACCAACTATGGGACATAGGTGGTTCCAATGTTACGTCTCGAACAGAGGCTGTTACAGAAGAAATCGTGAATTATAATGTGCTGAATACTGTATACAATGGGTACTACAGTGGCAAATGCCAAACGACATATATTTTTGACTGGTCCACCAGGTATTCCGCTGAAGCATATAGCGTTTCCCGGAGAGGAAATTCATATGTATTACATTTCATGTAAATGTTTTATTTGGACATTATTAACATTTTATAAGATTTTGGCCAAAATATTAAAGTAAACTTTCCCAGCACAAACAGCTTCCTTTTAACTTAATATGATTACCGTTATTTTCTTACAGGCCATAATATAGTCAACCATCGTTAAATTCTTGATAGTTGTATTCTTCGACAAAATATTTTCAAAAGAAGTGAACTGAACTGTAAAGTTGTCCATTATTTAATGAATTTGGGTCTTTCAGGTATAGGCAAAACAACACTGGTGCAGAAAGTGTGCAACTTGCTACAAAATGCAGGCATTTCTTCAAGCGGATTTTTCACTGAAGAGTTACGAAGTGGTGGAACACGTGTTGGCTTTGATGTTGTCACTCTGGATGGAAAACGAGGGACCCTTGCTAGATTGTTGTAAGTGTTTAATTTCATCTGATAGTAAGAGGTTACAGGACTATGGATTAATTTGTCTTGTTGCACTGTTGCAGGCAGGCTAGCTCCAGAGAAGAATCACACCATGTAGTTGGGCAGTATGGAGTAACACTGAAGTCATTTGAATCATTTGCTCTGCCAGTGTTTTCAACACAGGTTTGTCTTGTTATCAGTGTGTGATGAACTCATTCTAATCCTGCAGCCAGATTTTTTTTTTTACACACAAATAATCTCTTTCAAGTATATTTTTTACTTTCCCTATATCAGTTGTAAAATTGTAGATTTTGGTCTTCAGTCTTCAAATTAAATGTTTTGTGATGAACCTTTCTGCAGTTATCAGTATTCTGGTTAATTCTGACCCAACATGTCACAGCATCAGTGAATAATTATAAATGTTCACGTTACGAGCTTCTACCCACAATGCCATATTCTGAGGACCCACAGTATAGTGACTGAAAGCTGGTGAAGTTTGCGTACAAGGTTATATTGACATCATCAGTTATAATGGTGGACATTTTAAGTTCCAGACTGTTTTTCTGTCAACACAGCTGGTTTCTTTGTACATGTTATTGTACTTTGGGATGGTTTTCCTCTGTAAATCTATTTCAGCATTAAAATCTTTGGATTTAAGATCATGTCTTCCAGGCACACATGGGAGGCATCTTGGTGCTGGATGAGATTGGTCGTATGGAGTTAATGAGTGATCGGTTCAAGCAGGAAGTGAAGAAAGCATTCAGCAATCCTTCCATTACAATACTGGCAACCATTCCAGTGAAGCCTGCACCCTTCACTAAAAGTCTAAGCCAAAGCCCCAACACCCTTGTTCTTGTGGTAAGTTCACAAGCAGCGATGTACTTCAACACTATGAGCCCTTCATGAAGTTCTCTGGTTTTTAACGAATCACTCCAATTACAGACGTGTATTAACATAGTAGACCAAATGCAGTCTTCTGATTGGATGAACAAGCGTAATCTTCCCATGGACTTAATTAGGTCTGATTTCCCACTGTTTGCTTTCAACTTTAATAGTATACTTACAGCAGCTGAGAGATCAGATAGGTTAGGTTAGGTTAGGTGACCATACACATAACTGAAAGTAGGTGCTGGCTCAGAAAAAAGATGCAATGGTAGGTTTTCTTGAACATCACAACGAGCCTTCAGGCTTCATAATGTTTTTTATTGTTTATAAAAAAACTAAAATACGAAATTAATTTTTTTTGAAGTATGAGAAAATGTCCTGCCTCGATTTGAAATTTTGCACACGCCCATTGCACTGTATAAATTACGTTATGTATGAAACCCAAAGAGGCAAGAAATATATTTTGTACACTGAAAATGTAGTTACTCTAATATTTCATGTACTGTACAAACATTTCACAAAAATTCCATGCCGGAGTTAAGGTTCTCATGACAGTGAGTATGAAGATGGCTGTCTTCTGGATTGCACTCAGAGGTCCATACTGCCTCCATGAATATCATTGCCCTGATGACGGAGGCAGTATGACCTCTGAAACGTTGGTTAACATCGACCAGACTACACAGCACAACAACCCAGAAGACAGAAATCTTCATTTCACTTAAAGTAGCATCACTTCAATCTAAAAGGTACTTGTTTTGAAAGCAAGGATTTATCATATGTTTCAGGTCGCCAAGAGCAACAGGGACAACCTCGTTGATCAGGTGTTTGACATGCTGACCAAAACATAAGTTTTTGTTGTGGCCTATTATCTGGGCTGTGGTTTGCAATAGTATTAAAATCATTATGCCAATATACATTACAAAACCTTCACCCCATAGTCAGTCCTCGTTCACTCAGGTAATTAGGTGAAGGAATGTCTTGTTCATTCTATGTGGAACAAGTTTCAAAAGAGAACATAATTGTAAATGCACTGAACTAAACGAGCACTCTCTGTACACAATTCATCACGCTTACAAAACCTGAGGATTAAATGAACAATAAAAAAGTATAAAACACATCCTGAAGCAGAATGGCTCCTCCAGTGTTTCAGCACTTATGTCTAAGCTCGCAAGTGGATCACAGCCGTCTTCATGTACATGTCGTCAGTCGAGCTCATATTAAAATAAGCGTCTGCAATATATGTGTACTAGCATATAAGACTGAGCAGTGAATTTGCATAAGCCATGGGTTTCACATTTGGATGAGGCTGTAACACAACACACAACGTCTTTACACAGTAATACTTAACAATATATTAAAGTGAACAGGTCCTTCCATGCAAGGCTCTAAATGACCAACTACCCAACGTCACATTCAATTTTTCTTTCCTCAGAAGTGAGGTTTTTGTGCTTCAGGGAAGGTGAGAATTTGGGAACAAAGCTGCCAGTAGTTTTAGATTGAGTTCCTTTCACGGGGAATGAAATCACAATGAATCCAATATAAGTAGCTATTTCAGAACAGGGCCCTAACAAACTGTGCTTAAATGCCAAGTTGTTTAATTATATTTTGATGTGGTGGCAGGGAATGTAGAAAACATTTTTATTCATATAACTAGGTTTCTAACAAGGTTAATCTTAAGTGATGGATGGCACAGCCATTTATAAGCTATATCGAACCACTGATAATGATCCTAGGAGGGTCAATTTACATTTGGTGTAATAAATATTAATATAAATGAATAAAAGTTGTTGGCTGGAAAGGAAAACTAAATCTTACAGGATACATTACAACAGAAACTGGGAAGGTCAGGATATCATTAGATGGATCAAGTGAAGTGACTGCAACAAAATTTCACATTCTGCATTGTGTGAGAAAACACATCAAGCCACATGATTCAAACGCTTAAAAACTACTAGTTCAGAATTCCATCGACTGGTATGACACACAGTGGCCTAACGTCGTGAACTTACCACTGCTTCGTATGTTGTGTAATGGGGTTGCATATCCTTGCCTTTCAACACAATGAATGATCCCTTGTTGCCCATCGTATCGCTGTAACAGAAGTATCATCATCATCATATGACACCCTTCACAATAACTTCTTTCTATAATGAATTCTAATTTTAAATAGGCATAACCTGCTTAACCTCCACAGAGCAGCTGTCGAGTTTTAGCTGACTGTTCCTTGAACCAAAAACAGTTAGTCTCCTGTTAGACCTCCCAAGCATTCATCACTGTATTCTACAGTGCCTCTCAGTGGACCCCATCAACCCAGATTATATCTTCAAACACCTCTTGCATGATCTGTTTTAATAATATCTATGAGTCCCAAGATTTGTATCAGGTTTCCAACTAATTCTGTGTGTAATTTTTACTTCCCCAAGCATGCTACGTGTTTGATTAATCAGATTTCCTCAGTTTAATAAATAATCATCATGTTCTGCATATTGGTGCCATGTACACTCATCAGCAGATGCCGACATTTTGGAGAAACATCCTGTTTCCATCTTCAGTTTTTCTGAAAGTAGCATCTGCCAAGAAATGTATATGGCATCAAAACCGAGAACATCATAATCTTCGCTGCCACGATAACCTAAAATCTCAAATAATAAATCATATTCAAGGAAAGAAGCAAATTGTGAACTTCGGTTAATAAGGGACGGGAAGCAGTAATGAGCATGTCCCTAGGGCCAATCAAACTCCTATGAGGTAGTAGGATCTGGCAGTGAGTACAAAGATGGCTGTCTTCTGGGCTGTAGCTGCACGAAGTCTCGTAAGAGTTCACCAATGTTTCAGAGGTCCTTGCTGCTCAATCATCACAGCAATGAGGCAAGGCAGGCCCTGATGATGTAGGCAGCAAGGACCTCTGTAACATTGGTGAACTTCTACCAGACCAGAAGACAGCCACCTTCCCTACAAGGTAATACTTATACCATCAGAGGTCAAAACTGATTACAGGAATAACTGGTGTGATGGCTTGCACTCACCAGTAGTTTGGAGCAGAGAACACCGTGATGCATTTCCCATCATGAGCCACTTCATAGCCATCATTCTTCACCTCATGACTTCTTATCACATAATCCAGACCATTCAGTTCTAGAAATTTCTTGGTGACGTCAGGACCAAACTGAACACCAACACCACGTTTACTAGGTGCACGTCCGACCTGCGGCTGAGGGTCTGACCACAGGAGTTCACACATCAGCCCTACAACGAAATACTCATCAAGAATCAATGCCGCACCCACTCTGCTATGGCGCCTCATCTTTGTACAGCAGGGATTGGCAATAGTATGCCTGTGGGGACCCTGGTATCCTTGGAAGGGTGTTTTTGGGTACCCATGATAATTTCAAAATATTCGTAAGTGCCATTTCCTGACAAGAAAGGTCATTTGTTTATTAAGCACTGTTTAACAGAGAGAGAGAGCATTCAAAACAACAATGTCCTCCTGTGAGACCACCAGGTACACACCGACTGATAATGTAATTATTTCACATATATTTTGTTCAAATACTTCAACTGCAGTGCTCTGAGGTTCTAGAACATATGATACAGAGCTCTGACCCTGCCCCACCAAACTATCATCTGTTTGAACCCATCAAAGAACACTTTAAGTGGCTGTCATTATGCCTGCAACCATGAACCAAAGCAGGCAGTGCATACATAGCTTGTATAATGCTGCACGGGGACTAAACTGAAAAATGAAGCACTTGTGGGCTCTGTATTGGTTTGTAATTTTAATAACTACATTATGGATACTTTTGAACTGCCTGCATCAAATACCATTTGAAAGGTCTGCTTGTAGTTATATCACAATGGTTACAATGGGAGGTCTTAAAACAAGACAGGTGAAGGAATCTCTTGGCAGGCAGATCAGTAACAAGTACGCTGTGACTAGGGTTTATAAAAAACCGACTTTTGAAAAAACCGATTTTCGAATCCCAGTATTTCCAAAAAAACAGGTTTTCGATTTTTTAAAAAAAACTAAAACAATATTTATACTTATTTAAAAAAAATTCAGTTTACTTAATATTTATGGAACTACAAAAATAGAACAAACTAAAATATACTACATACAAAACCAAATAAAATAACTAAAATCCGTACAAAATATAAATTATAATTTTTTATTTTATACAGTATTTTTCTTCAGGAAATATGATTTCAAAAAACATAAAATATCCAGTGAACGATTACTTAATCTTGTTCTTATTCTAGATACAAAATTGCCTGAAATAGGAAATACTCTCTCACTGGCTACTGAACTTGCTTTTATCGTTTTCAGGGCATCAAATAACAAATCTAAATTCTTTGTTCTTTTATTGGTTGCCTCAAATACTGGAAATTCGGCCTTCAGTGTCTTCGGATTTGATATTATTTCTTCAGGTTCCTCAAGAAATCTATGAATTGATTTTTCCATTGCTTCTTTTAGAGCATTGCCCTGATTAATGGTTTGTCCGTCTCCGATATATTCATCATCGGAATCTGTTTCCATACAAGAATTTGGATATATTCTAGACAATATTTGTCCAGGTAACTTAATAATATCGAGTTTCGAAGCTAGTGGAAATACACTAGATTTCTTTGTTGAAATGTTTTGTGGATTTTGCAAATGTAGCAATCCAAATTGTCTTCTTTCTTGAATTCGTACTTCTAAAGCATTTAATAATTTGGAACTAATTTCAGCCTGACTCATGAACATTAGTTTTACTACAATATGCTTGTGCCCGAGGCGATTTCAATTCAAAATGTTAACGTTTTTAATTAATTAATTTTTACATATTAATTCTAGTATCTAAAACCGGTTTTCGAATTTTACAAATTTATCAAAACAAAAAAAAAAGTTTTTAAACCCGACTTTTAAAAATCGACAAACCCTAGCTGTGACGTTGTCAACAAAATGTATGAATTATTCAGCCTTCAGATAGTTAATTGTTCAGGCTGTGCTGACCCCAAACAAAACCACTTACCTTCCTCTGGTGGTTGCCTGTTCCTGTCAATCTTACTGATCTCATCCAGCGTGACATCATCCCTGGAGAACAGCCCCCCATGCATCACCTGATGGCACACAAGTCTTGTCACTATGACATACAAATTAACACTTATTCAAGAAAGCACGTGCATCTGAACATACTGACCAGGACTTTGCCATTGAGGCAGTGGGCCAGCGGTAGCCAGTTGTACACTTCAGTGAAGAGTTCAGACATCTGAGCAGTGTACTTTGCCTTCACCTCACCTTCAAACCCATACATCTGGTTCATAGTCTGGCTCTCATGGTTGCCTGCCAACAAAACTTACACTTTATTTTCAGTTTATATTTTATGCATTCTTCGTTATGATGTATATAAAATGAACACACAATGTAAAGGTAATATCTGTTTATCCATGTCAATGATTCATCCCCAGAAATGTATGATGAATTTTGATGAAATATGGCATCCACAGTAAAAGCTGTCAATTACAGCCGCTACTTTACATGAAGCCCAAATTAAACTTTATCATGCACCAAGATCCATAAATTCCATTTCAATTTGTTATATGGTGCATGAATGTATACAGCCTGATCAGTGTTATAATGTGCATTTATATCTACAATAAATGAACATTAGTATCAAGGAAGCATGGGGAATTGCAAATAACCCATTTGGAGATCATGCACTCCTCACTGATGTTCTCCTCTTTAGACCACTTTCCTTTTTCATGAAATATGCTCACTTACTGCATGCACACATGTTCTTTTGCAACAATGGTAGAACACTAGTCATTTACTATATGGTCCCAAAGTTTGTGTGCTAAAGTACCAAAAAGAATCAAACTTTGTTACTAACTTTTGGTAACACCATTTCTTGCAGAATGTGTAAAACTGAGATGATCATGTGAAACTTCTTCTTGGCTTTTTATTATATGGTAATATGAATGGGTAACCCCAGCTAGGAATGTGAAATTTTGAACAAAGTTGGATAATTTTCTTCAAAACACTTTTATGACAAACTTACAAACATGACAATGAAGCAAAGTTTTCAATTAGCAAGAATATTTACTAGTGGAGATTATTCACAGGAAACTATCATGAACTTGTGCAACAAAATGAAAATGCACAGGCAGTTCTGATAAATACACCATTCTCAAGAAGAGTTTCACATGGGGTCCACACCAAAGAGAAATCACGCGTCATTATCAGGCTGCCGTAATCACTGATCTATCAGAGTCAGTAACATACAAGCAAGCACACCATGAACAGTACGGCTCTTACCCCGAGACATGAAGAAATGTTCTGGGTATAGAAGTTTGAATCCAAATAATGTGAAAATACATTCAACTGAAAATGATCCACGGTCTACAAAATCACCATTGAACAGCTGTTGACTCATTAAGGAAAAGTGTTCCTATTCATCATGTCTGTGAACATTATACGACTTTGAATAAGGAATGATCATGAACCGCCAAGCCAAGAAGCAGGGATTACAGCATCTGCATAACCAGTAACAGATAAACAGGGGACTAGAAAAATTTAAAAAACAAATTCACATCATACAGTCACTTGTTTTGAAAGAACAGCTGACAGCAACAACAAGAAAACTGTAGTTATTTTACTTGTACACATTTCTTTATTGTTTAAAAAAATGCTGTCAGTAGCTCTGACTATGCAATGTAAAATCATGGGACTTTTAGTGAATAATATAGGAAAGGATGTGGAAGGAAGCAGTCATGGCTTAATTTAAAGTACTATCCCAGTATTTACTGGGAGGCACTGAGGAAAACTATGAAGAACCTCAGTCAGGATAGCCAGTATCCAGGTGAACACATGAAGCAGAAGAGCTAACAGCTTATCCACAATGTTCTCTGCTGCAGTCAGACTGAGTCTTGCAATGACGGTAATCAAAAAAGGATACATATGGATTGCTTGGTGACGGCAGGCCATTCAGATCAAAAATATTCATGAGATCATAGAACTGTCCATGTATGTCACCACAAATAGTAAATTTACTGTCATCAGGAACTGTAATTTCAACTAAGGATGGTTGTGACATGAACAGCTGCTTTACATCCAGTAGGATCTGAAATGACAGAAAACAGTCAGCATTCTGGAAACATTCTCTTGTTGACATATTTTGCTTTGTCATTTTAGATTAATTGAAGTGGTAAAAGCGTTCATTCCAAACTGCCCGAACCACTGTAATAATGTCATCAAAATCCTCAAGGTAAAACCCTACAAAGAAACATAACAAACACCATCCAGAAGCACAATTACATTATAGTATGGAGCAAGTCAAGGACACTGCCTTTCTTAAGTACATGCAAGATTCACCTGTTCATTCACACTGGTACATCTCTTTGTTCTGTTAATTAAATATTACAATACTTTATTTCATCACTTACATTAAACAAATGTCTTTTATGAGCCACAATACACAGAGTCAAACAAATATAGCAATATATGATGTACACAACTTCTTTAAACAAATACAAGATTGTGTCAACATCAGAGAAGTTATATTGTCAATACAGAAATGTACTGGCAGATGTTTGTGGTTTGCTGAAGAGCAAAGTAGGAAGAATTTGGGCACGAGCAGTGGCACCATTCTGGTCCCAAAGAAGTCTGTACGTAACAAGCCTATAACTGATACAAACAATCTTCAGCGTCTCAGCCATGCATTCTTAGGGCATGTTCTAACCACTGTGCAATATCTACTGAATATATTTATAATTCTCTTCACTTTAATAATTTCTAATTCCGCCAATTCTTATACGTCCCTTGACCGACATTACAAATTTAATTTCCACACAACCAATCTTTGTTATATCCTACTTCTTTACTACACACACTTTACTCCCATCAAATAACTGGAAATGCCACTACCTTTTGGAATTTTAGTTGTTTCTAAAATAGTTTTCCCTTTTAAATTTCTTCCTATAGCATCACATATACAGCCCGTTTTCGGGCCATGACTTCCCCCTTTCTCGGAGGTTTCTTGGTCTTTTGAAGTGTGCATTTGTGAGTAGCGAGTGACCAGCCCACTGACTCTGCACAATTACTACTCAATCCTGAATTGACTGCCAGAGCCATCTAGCAGTGAATCAGGAGACTTCGGTGAGAAACATCTCGTTCATGCTCGTAAGGTTCTTTTACGCCGGCTTTACTTCCTCTCCAAAAGAAGTTGTGCTATGGATTTTTATCACCCTCAAAAATCCATCGACCTCGGCCGGGACTGAACCCGTGAACCTTGGGTCCAGTGGCGAGCGCGCTAACCGCTAGTCCACCGAGGGCGACAAATATATAAAACAATAAAAGAGAGGGGAATGTGACATCATGACTGCCAGAATTGCATCCTTAAGGAAAATTCATAGATTCTAGACACAGAATGATCCTCTTCAGTGATTTTCCTAAATGAAACATGGTTAAATTACAATGATCCAAGCAACTGTATCTGGTAGTGCTACAAGTAACTACAGAATGGGAAAGGGGGCTTGTTCATCATGTGTGATTGCTGACTAACAAAGAGACAACTAAACTGGATGAATGGGACATGAATTTGTCCATCTTCAGCTGCAGAAATGTCATTACAACCAAATATGTTACAGCCCACTGTGGGAAAACAGAAATAATAAACCTGGAAGGAACAGCCAATAAGATACGTAGTTTTTGTCAAGTCTGGATGCCCTACAGGTTGAAGAGGGAAAACAGTTTGGGGGTGGAGGAGAATGCAAATGGCTTCATCAAGACAAAAGAATTACTCCACACTGTAATATGTTGAGGATGAAACAAAAAATAACACAGAATCCAATGGGTAGTTGTTGGTCCTTTACTTTAAGGAAACAAGATGCTCAGGAAAAGATCTGGAATTAACATTTTAAATACCTGCAGCCAGTACTCTGACCACTGTATGTTAACTTCATAGACGTATATGGCCACTTAATTGGCTGCAAACTTAGGAGTCTCTTGTGAAAGTTTGCATGTAAATTTTAATACCCACAAAAAGAACTTGGACTACCCGAGTTATACACTGGTAATTGATAAGGGTATAGTAAAGGTCAAGGGAGACAATAATAACATTGCATAATGAGATGCTACAGGTCACATACTAATGCTAGGG